GGATATGATTCTTGTTTTCCTAATTGTGGAAATGTCGAGAATTTACAAAATAAAGAAAGATTCTCATCCCCCAAGTTTCAATTGGATAGAAACTTGGAATCATTGAACATGTATTGTATGATGAATAAAAAACTTTCATATTTGGAAATTAGACTAATTCTTTGACAAAGTGTCAAATGAAGGACTAGGAGATCAAGTACACTACGCTGTGCGTTGATCAAGTTCACCACAAGAGTAATAAAGATATTCGTCATGATTTACTAAAGTTTGGTAAATATGATTATACTTATAAGAATAAGTGTAATTCTGAGTTGATTGGAAGAGTTTCAATGAATAGCAGGACGAATAAGAAGAATCAAGTAGGCAGAAAGATAAAAGTTTGTCTATTCTAAGAAGAAGGGAGAGTACCTTTTATTGTGTTTTATGATCATCTTAATCATTGAGAACCATATCACGATTGATCCTCTAAGTGAGTCTTAGTGCATTTATATGTCTAAGAAGAGGAATCGAGAATTGTGGAAATGGTTAAATCAAGAAGCCAATCATACTTCGTTCCAAAATAAATTCTTAGAGTCATACTCCAAGATTGTGACTTGAGCGACAAGTCTTAAGTAGGTTTGTAACACTTATCAAATGTAGAATAAGAAAGTTTCTTATTCTTTTACATTTGAAATTGGTAAGTTGTGATGTATTGGATAAGACAAAGACCAACTAAGACCAATTGAGTGAAGTGTTAAACTTGATACGAAGCTACACTAACTCTTGAATATTTGTTTTGTCAAGGAATGTTTCTTGACAAGAGAGTCTTATATGTCAAGGAATCAGTGGGAGTCTTATTGGTCTTGAAAAAGTTCAGGAACAAATCAAGAGTAAACCTAGTTGATCATCACTAGCACGTGACTTGAGGTTTATAACCTATCATACTCTTATTTCTGTGCCATTCTAGTTGAGTTAATTATGCATGTGAGTTCTATGAGTTCTCATTTGAAGGCATAAAGGCAATGCACCTTGTTCAATGGAAAGTACATTGATATGTAGGGGTGAGTTGCTTGGAAGACATGGTGGGAATTGATACTACCATGAGGCAAAAAATCAAAATTGAACAAGTTCAGTCCATATGAGCTTGAATTTGTTGCAAACCTTGGTTTTGACACAATTCATATAGATAGGAACACTTACACTATAAAATCTAAGTGATATAAGGTTTCCTTCCTTCATGAAAATGATTGTGAGGAAATGCTTTCACTAAGAGAGATTTTAAGGAGATAGCAATTGTGTAAATTGTATTCTCAAATTCGATTATGATTATGGCATCCTTCTTCATAGTTCGAATTGTGAGATTTGACAATTAGTCTAAACATTTGGGACTTAGTAACATAAGTTCTGAATTTTTTTAGAGACACATGTGAGCTTTCTAAGACAAAGGTGTATGAGCTTAAGAAGCTTAGATAAAGGCTTATCAAAGCATCAGGTATTAGAAATACAAACTTAAGGAATTCAATAAGCATTGTCTTCTTGGAGTTCAATTGTTTTCCGAATACATGTCAAAGCTAGTATAAGTGTTATGCTCATAAGGAAATAATCATTGTGTTAGTGGGAGCATTATTATTATTTTAAGTGTTGCAAGTTAGCTATATTAATTATAGAAAAACAAAGATTTAATTTGCAGAGTTGCAAGGATTGAAAAATTATTTTGCTATAATTAAGGGAGAGAATATTATACTTCATTTCAAATCTAAAAACTTAGATTGTGGAATTTTAATCAAATTTAGTCAAATATATATGAATGTTGTGTTGGAATGGTTTAACATGAGAAAATTCTATATATGGAAAGGATAATTGCATTCTCAAAATTTGGTTATGATTACGACATCCCTTTTCATAATCAAAATTGTGAGAACATGACAATTAGAAATATCATAGCAAAAGACTGGTAAAGTATCACGTTTTTATGTAAGACGTTATGAATCATGTCTCATACACTTCGGGTATAGGATCGATTGCATATGCTATAATGTTTGATCGTTCTAAAATTTTCCAAATGTTTAGCGCATTAAGAAGGAAAAGGGACTAGAATCGGTTTTGACTAAAATAATTAAACAACTATTAAAGGACGATCCAAAGTTCGCTGAGGGTTGGTCGCTTGTGAGTAGTTATAAGTATAGTACTAGATGGATCATATCGACATTATTATGAATAGATAAGATTCTATTAAGAATGAGTTGTCATATGGAAAATATGGAAATGTTTCCATATTGGGAGTTGGAAATTAAGAATTTATGTCTAGATTAGAAAATTTTATACAAAAGGATGTTCAAAGGAATGTACTTTAAGTGAGAGACATCTCATCTATAGAATTGTTTTGTAACAATTTCTAATAGTGAACCTTGTAATTTCATTGGTCAAGTCTTGGTGACTTAGTAACATAAGTTCTGAATTTGTTTAGGGTTCTTCTAATCTAAATGAAAGCAAAGGGTTATTAGCCCCTGATTACATAAAAAAAACACATAATCAAATAGCAAAGTAGGTTAAACATTGTAAAATCTAGGAAAACCGAATGATTAATGTAGATTCCTTGCTTTAACCTCTCTAAAACTTGCTCTCCAATCGAATTCAGCCTCCAAGAAGATTTTAGGTTGCTTTTGGTCTAAAAAAATTGCAGTTTTTTGGAATCGCTCTCCATGCATCCTCTGACATTCGACCTACTGGTCTCCACGTCGTGGCCAATATTCTGCCATGACATGTAAACCATCTTGATCCCGTATACGCCAAGGCTTCCATGCAGATCCTGAGAAACTTCTATGTTGGACACATAGCCACGTTGTGACATATAAGCGACCACGATGTGGGATTCTTTATATGCTCGATTTCTTCTCCACTTTTCCTTTATTCGCATGTGCCAACCTCCAAGTTTCCAGCTTCTTCAGTTTCAATCCTTTTTCCTTGAGAATGTCCTTTTTGGCTAAAAAAGATAGAATTTAAACTATATAAGTACCAAATATATTTGTATTTAACCAAAACATAGCTCAATTGTATTGAAATAATCTCCCTATCTAATAAACAAAACCAACTGGACACGTGTCATTACAATCATCCATTTTTCGCCCTATGTTAAATTACTCTATTACCCCTTCAGCATCCTTTCACGTATCATTAGGTAATAGATAAAATAGGTAATTAGGTATGGAATTGAATTAGATTAGATTATATATGGAATATATGGAATATGGAATTTCACGTAGCATTACAAATTGAATATGGATGGAAATAATGATATTGTATCGAAATCTTTGGAATATTGAATCTGGAAATATCGATATTTTCTAATTTGAAATTTGAATATGGAATATCTGCTGTATACATTAAATCAATTCCGTTACATGCCCGATTAAGAGCATCTAAAAATGGTATGCATATCAATCAATTATTATGCGCATAACATACTATATCAATCATATTCCGCTTCAATTACATAATTCAATCCCTACGACCGTCTCTGCATCTCAATTCTGCTTCTTAATTTCGAATCTTGAATCAGCAACTTCAATCCTTCGGTGAGTTTCTCATGATTAAGTATCATTGCCTCTCAATGTTTGTGTTAATCGTATAATTGAATTTTTTTTTCTTCTTCTGCGACTTCAATTTTGCTTCTCATTGAATTTGTTAATCAAGGTTTCTATTTATCTTTGATTCAGAAGTTGTTTATTAATTATTTTCGTCTGATTTATCAAACCGTTTATATAATAAACAAAAAAGTATCAATTTCTTTTTGAAGTTCCTGTTACACTATATCCCATTTTTAGTAATTTCTTCTCAAAGAACAATGCTATAATCTGTAATTTATCATCTTTTAGTTTAATTTTCTGGGCAAGGATGTATTCATTTTAACCTCATAAATAATTTTTCTGATGAAATTAAAGTGATAACATAAATAAAGTACATACCTCTGGAATAATTTATGGGCAACATTTGGGGTTTCCATCAAATACACAACCAACTAAATACCCACCAGTAACAACCAACATAACTCTAAAACGTGTGTTGTTTCTAGGTTCATCTATCACATTCAGATTTTTTTACTAATATATTTGCAATAAAAATAAAAAAAATTACATTCAATAACATTCTACTTTTCAATTTCGTGTTATAAGATATCAGTATATTTGCTTTATAAAAAAGATGTCTCAAATTTGAATACATTCAATAAATTCCTGTTCAAAATAATGATCATTTTTTAAACATGGACATATTCATAATTTTCACAATAAAATGGTATATTGGTGCATGCATTCTTGGAATGTGCTTTGATATTATTTGAGGTATTGTATTAAAAAAGATTCTAATCAAGCTGTCAAATGAGATTTCTCATAATATTGAACACGCAACAGAATAAACAATGCATCAGATGTCAATTTTACCCTTTGTCAATTCTTTTGATGAGCTCTAAAATTTCAATCATTTAAATTCCATAAATTAAGACTACAATTTCATCATTTTATGACCCCCATTTGCGAAGTTGAGTATTTATTTCCAAAAATGCGAAACTCCAGGGACAATATTTGAAAATTTCTGTTTTCTTCCCCAATTCGCATTCTACTGTGAAATACTTCGCATCTTCATTCTTACACCCTTCGCATCCCTTCGCATTAATCACCTTCGCATTCTACTGTCAATTCTTTTGTATCTCTTTAAAAATTCTGCAATTTCATCATTTTATGACCCCCATTTGCGAAGTTGAGTATTTATTTCCAAAAATGCGAAACTCCAGGGACAATATTTGAAAATTTCTGTTTTCTTCCCCAATTCGCATTCTACTGTGAAATACTTCGCATCTTCATTCTTACACCCTTCGCATCCCTTCGCATTAATCACCTTCGCATTTTAACCTAATTAATCAAATGCGAACCACAAAATTTTCATTCCAGATGCGAACACAGTTTAGTTCTTGAACTCTAAACTTGCGAAATCAAAACTTTCTGTTTTATGGCTGTTTATAGCATTTAACTTTTATTTTCTGTCAAATTTAGCATCTTACTTGGTTCCTATTTTTATGATTTTCCTGTTTAGGTTATGTTTTATCATTGTTTAAATCCATTACTATTGCAAAATTTTACATCTATATTTTTTTGTATTATTTAGTTCGTTCTTATATTATTAGTACTCGATACACATAATTGTAATTATTTTGTGTACTTTTCTGTTATAGTGACAATGGCAGAAACAAAGATCACTTTCATTAGAGACTTGGACAATATGAATGATGATTACACACTAAAAGTGTCAATTATCCGGCTGTGGAAATCGCTTTCAGATGGCAACCCCACTATTGTCAGATCAATTGAGATGATACTCATGGATGAAATGGTAAAATCTACTATTTTCATAGCATTATTCAAAACCATTTTTTTTATTTGATCATTCCAATAATATTATTCAAACTCAATCATTGAAGATGTTATCTTCAATGTTGACCAATTTATATTTATTAAAAATTCCGTTTTTAACATTATATAATATTCTTACCCTATGTGAATAGTGTACAAAAATCCGAGCAAGTGTGTATCCAAGAGATTTTCAAAGGTTTGAGTCCAAATTGAAAGAAGATCAAGCTGTTTACATCCGGTCCCCCACTATCGCTCCTAACAAATACACTTTTAAAATAAGTGATGTAACCTCCAAGTTAAATTTCCATAGAAGAACAACTGTTAACGAGTGTCTACACTTTCAATCCAAAACAAAATATGGATTTTCTTTTGTTTCTTTTGAAACAATTATCTCTGCAACAGCTACATCTAATGAATCAATTGGTAATTTCCCTCCTTATTGATTGTATATTATATTTAATTCTTTAAATTCACATCATTTTGACATTCTGTATTATCATTTTGTAGATATTATTGGTGAAGTTGTTTCATTAGGAAAGCTTGATTCCCGTGATGTCAGCAAATCTCTACATAGGCTGCCTTTACAAATAAGAAACTTAGAGTAACCAAAACTTTTTTTATATTATATCTTATATCTTATATTCATTACTTTACAACTTGCATGTAGAATTTTAGTATTATATATCATTTAACCATTATTATTTTTGCAGAGGTTTGCAGGTTAATGTTACGTTGTTTGGAGATATTGCATACCAGTTAATTTCTTATCTTGAAGCTCATAAAGAAGTTGGTCGTGTGATTGTCCTTTTGCAATTTGCAAGAATTAATGTCTATAACGGTAAATTTTTTATACCAATCAACCTTATTTTAGTCTTTTATATTACTCATTCTATTTACTATTTTATTTTGTTTCATCAGCAACACCTTCTGTGAACAGTTATTTTGAACACACACGATGTTCATAAATGCTAATCTTCCCGAAATTGTTACATTCACAGATAGGTAACTGTACCTTTTAATAATTCATCGTTTTGTTGTTTCTGTTCAATAATTTTATAATTTTATTTTCAAACTCCTAAATTAAAAACAGCTTGGTTGGATTAAGAGGACTTCAAAACCCTTCTGCTTCTTTGACTGTTGAAAGCTCTAAATCATATTCGGAATTTGATGACTTTTTGAATAACTACAAAGTTAAAAATGTTGTCGATTTGATAGAACCACAAGAGGTATGTGAATATTTTATCTGTATTGATGTCATATTGTTTTCTATTTAACAGATAATAAAATTATAATGTTTTTTATGATCGTTTTGATTTTATTTTAGGTCGGCCAATATATCATTGTCGGGACCATTTATGGTATTCGCCAAGATATTGATTGGTATTATGATGCGTGTACAAACTGTGGAAAGAAAGTTCAAACATAAGATTTGTTCAGTGGTGCACATAGTGGTGATGCAAGTGTCGTTTTAAAATGCAATGGTGATAATTGTAAAAATAAGACGATCTCTTCTGTTCCAAGGTTTTTTTACATTTAAGAAAATATCAACAGAACAACTTAACTACATTATTAACCATTAAACATATTTAATGTTTATTTATCTGGGAATTTTTTATAGGTATAAAATACCTATTCGTGTGCAAGATGATTCTGGAACAATCACTCTAACTCTCTTCGATAGAGATGCTTATAGAATCGTCAAAAAACGCGCACGTGATCTTATAGATAAAATCAAACAGGTATAACGTAATTTTAATTTTTGTTTTCTTAATTGTTGTTATTTGTTGTATTTTCTTTAGTTTAATGTGCTTTTAAACATAAATATATTATATAACACATTTATTCCAGGCTGGGGATAATCCAAGATTATATCCTTACGACCTCAAATGTTTGGAGCATAAAAAGATGGCTTTTAAGATAGATGTTAACAGTTTTAATGTATCCAATAACTACAATCGGTTTGGGATACTTGGCTATACGGTTGATAGTAACGTTATCGATGCTTTGGAAAAAAAGTTAGCTGTCGAGGTATTTATATATTATTTTTATTTGTTTTTTTAAAATTACTTTTTATGATGCATATTTTTTTAATGATCTTCACTAATAAATTGTAAATCTATATTGATTTAGACCTATGTCCCACAAATTATATAAATATTTAAATTTCTGATTCAGGCAGGTAGTCCTGCAAATGCTGATGATACAGAAATCGCATCTCATGAAGTATCTCAAGAAACAAAGTCCTTAAAGGTTATATTATAAATTTACATTATTTAATTTTATATAATCTATTAAAAAGATTACTTTTTCTTAATATTTTATTACTAAACCTATTTACAACATTTTGTTTTAAGGATGCGATATCGCAAACAGGTGATAATTTGACCCCAACATTGCCCGACAAATTTGAAGCTACAAGTCCGTTCAAGTATAATTCCCCAACAACAGTAAAAAAACGAAATGTTGGAGATACCATTGATGTTGATGATTATGATAATGTGAATTCATCCACCAAGGTCCCTCGATTGAATTCTAAAGTTGATGGCAACACAGGTCTATTAATACCAAAGCTTGAACAGTAATTTGAGATTGTCCTTTTTTAATCAACAATGTTCTTGAATTTGGATTTTTTTTGGATTCTCTTTCACAGTATTGCTCTTTGTGGTGTCTACTATTCAAACATTGATACTTCTTGCTTTATTTTCGCTGGTATTCTATATTTTAATACGATTATCATTTTATGGTTATCATTGTAATTAGACTAATCTTCTTTTAATAAATGTGTGGCATATATGTTTGTGAATTTATGTGTAAAATAAGCAAATAAATATGTTTCTAAAGAGTCTTATCAGAAATATACTAATTATTTAACGATGGTGGTCTTGATAAGTATTAGTTCGTTTCAAGCATATACAAATAAGTATATTACATACAACTAAATTACATTACATGTATTTACAATCATATATACTAATAAGGCATATTTTTTGGTTCTGGGCAAGGATGTATTCATTTTAACCTCATAAATAATTTTTCTGATGAAATTAAAGTGATAACATAAATAAAGTACATACCTCTGGAATAATTTATGGGCAACATTTGGGGTTTCCATCAAATACACAACCAACTAAATGCCCACCAGTAACAACCAACATAACTCTAAAACGTGTGTTGTTTCTAGGTTCATCTATCACATTCAGATTTTTTTACCAATATATTTGCAATAAAAATAAAAAAATTACATTCAATAACATTCTACTTTTCAATTTCGTGTTATAAGATATCAGTATATTTGCTTTATAAAAAAGATGTCTCAAATTTGAATACATTCAATAAATTCATGTTCAAAATAATGATCATTTTTTAAACATGGACATATTCATAATTTTCACAATAAAATGGTATATTGGTGCATACATTCTTGGGAATGTGCTTTGATATTATTTGAGGTATTGTATTAAAAAAGATTCTAATCAAGCTGTCAAATGAGATTTCTCATAATATTGAACACGCAACAGAATAAACAATGCATCAGATGTCAATTTTGCCCTTTGTCAATTCTTTTGATGAGCTCTAAAATTTCAATCATTTAAATTCCATAAATTAAGACTACAACCAACAGAAGATTATCATTAGCTCATGCAACTCCTAAACCGGATATCAATTCCAAAACTACCCCTACTACTTCCCGTCCTACCAAAAAAATCGATGGATTCCGCAAGCCTTTTTCTCCCATTTCTTCCAAAACTACCCTTAATGTCACAACATAAGCTGAGAAAAAACACGACATCCTACAAAAAACATTTCAAAATAACAATAACAATATGTTCTTGCTTTATCGATTCATCGACTACACTCATACAAATGCGAACAATACTCAATTTCAAAATCGATTGAAACTTATAGCAAAGCTAAATCCAACTTCGCATTCAAAGCAGTGTTATTGATTGCATTCATGAAATACTAACAAGATAGTATATTATAATACAAATATACATATTTTAGGTGGTGAAATCGTAACAGCCTAACAATTTGGTATGCAACTTTATTAAATCAATAAAAAAAGTTATGCAAATTGGAAAAATAAATAAAAATATATGTTTTGTTGTTTTAATTAAGGAAATAAATATTTTATATGAATACTCACCTGGAAAAACGCATATTATAATTGTCTAATTTAATCGTAACAGCCTACCAATGTACTTTCTTCTTGACTGTTTGATTGTTTTTTTTCTGTGTGCTGATTATAATTGTCTAATTTAATGTAATTTTTTTTTTTTTTTTTAACTTGCAAGGTACAATGGAACATATTACTCCTATAAAGGAAATTGACTCAATCAAGGACGATTTCACAATTAAAGTTCGGATCATACGTCTTTGGACTCAAAAGTCAAGAACAATGTCTTATAATTGTCTATATCCCATTTTTAGTAATTTATTCTCAAAGAACAATGCTATAATCTGTAATTTATCATCTTTTAGTTTAATTTTCTAAATATATGTGTGGTTGTCTATGTGTGTGTATCTCTTTAAAAATTCTGCAATTTCATCATTTTATGACCCCCATTTGCGAAGTTGAGTATTTATTTCCAAAAATGCGAAACTCCAGGGACAATATTTGAAAATTTCTGTTTTCTTCCCCAATTTTACATATTTACTGTGAAATATTTCGCATCTTCATTCTTACACTCTTCACATCCCTTCGCATTAATCACCTTCGCATTTTAACCTAATTAATCAAATGCGAACCACAAAATTTTCATTCCAGATGCGAACACAGTTTAGTTCTTGAACTCTAAACTTGCGAAATCAAAAATTCATATGTTGAACCCATATGCGAATATTAACCCAATTGACTTCAAATTGATTCACAGATGCAAACACTCGATTGTTTTACTTTCGCAAAATGAGCATCAACAACTCCACAATCGAGTTTTTAAATTCTTGCAAACAACAATTTCACAGTCCTTGACTTCGCATTTTTCTTCACGAATCATCCCTCAATCATCAATCCAATTGCGAATCAAAACTCATATGTTCTTGCTTTATCGATTCATCGACTACACTCATACAAATGCGAACAATACTCAATTTCAAAATCGATTGAAACTTATAGCAAAGCTAAATCCAACTTCGCATTCAAAGCAGTGTTATTGATTGCATTCATGAAATACTAACAAGATAATATATTATAATACAAATATACATATTTTAGGTGGTGAAATCGTAACAGCCTAACAATTTGGTATGCAACTTTATTAAATCAATAAAAAAGTTATGCAAATTGGAAAAATAAATAAAAATATATCTTTTGTTGTTTTAATTAAGGAAATAAATATTTTATATGAATACTCACCTGGAAAAACGCATATTATAATTGTCTAATATCACTATTCTTCATTTTTTCTAAACTTTCATATCTTTTTTTTTGTTACAAATTAAAAACTATAATTATATTTCAATTTATCACCCGTTGATTTCCACGGGTTTAAACCTAGTGCATAAATATATGTACAAATATAACAATATCACCTGGCCATGTTAGCATGCATGTTTAAGTTTCGTATCCGAATGTTACATAGAGATTCTGATAAGATTTTATGGTTCTTGATGTTAATGAATCTAACAAGCGCACAAGTTTAGCCCAACTTGTTCTTCTTCTTTGCAATAAAAAAAATCAACAACACCCACTCGTCCACATATATTGCACAATTCACACATAGATAGATGAGAAGGAAAATTAGAGACGTAAATTATGATCACAATTTCTCTAATTGGTCTTCTTTTGAATCCATCTTGTGTAAATGCACTAATATTTTGAATACATACGTGCGTTTCTTACCTTGAACCGTAGTCCAATCAACTTCTTTCACTGAACGAGATAGAAAACATGATCATGAAAACCTTCACAGATGTTTGAGTCCGCAGTGCCGACCTCTAATTCTGAAATCGTTGAAACGCTTTTAGTGAAGGCTTATATTTTAGTACTTTGTGCCGACCTTTAATTCCAAAATCGTCGAAACGCTTTTATTGAAGGCTTATATTTTAGTACTATTTGTACCGAACAAATCCTTATGTGATGTAATAGAGAGGGCGTCCTCTATCCGGTCACCCATCCAACACCTTAAGCTGTTGGTTCTTCTCTTTGACATCAACGTCTTGGTCACTCTTAATATAATGATTTTCAACATTTAATTTTTAGTAATTAATTTTCTCGTACAAAATATAATAATTCTAGGTTTTGTCCTACATGACAATTGAAAAAACATGTTCTTTTATTGTTTAGTTAATCCAATTATGTTGTAGTTTTCCATTTCAAAATTATCATTAGGATGAATGAACTTCTACCATTTAAAGTGTTATTGGCAATACATATTACATTATCGTTCATAATCATTTTGTACATTTTCTTTGGGTCTATCCGTTCTTAGAAAAAAAATATAATGCAGGGGCGGATATAATAGTGCAACCCTTGATTTTTTCGAGCGCAGTGTAAAATTTTTGAAAATTTTATTTTTTCTACTATTGTGCAACCCTGACCTTCCCGTAACATCCTACTATAAATCCTGTATCGACCGCTCATAAAATATCTTTTTTAGATTAATTACATTCACAATCATATTAAAACTCAACATCTTGTGACATCCATACATTATAATGTAACAATGGTTGAGAATAAGATAGCTCTCAATTCCATTCCCTTTGCGACACTCGCGGTATCGGTGGGATAATAAACACAACTTTTGAATCAAAGAAACGAGAATATGATTTTCTCATATAGCCTCTTATAGAAATGCATTTTAGTGGCAACAATTTTATGTTGTCATAAACGCATATGAAAATTTCATTTATATATGTCCTTTTTTTTTTTTTTTTTTTTTTTTTTTTTTTTTTTTTTTTTTTTTTGGGTAAAAGCCTTATCTAAAACCTTACCATCAATGTCCTACCAAAAACAAAAAGCTTGTTTTGACGTTTAGACATTATTTCATAAAATATTCGTTTAATAATATAACGAGTATTAGATTATTAAAAAAAGCTGACCTTTCTTGGTACATAGCTCCAACAAGAAATTTCAAAACTTCTATCCCTAAACAACAATGAATTATCCTATACTAGTGCTGGAAATCAACCTTGTTTTGAATGGGTTATCGATGTAGAATCTTTAAACGTGTTAAACTTACACGTAGTATATTTAACTTTCTATTTTATTTTATTTTTCGTCACTAAAATGGGAAATGTATTAGTGTTGTCCCTTATTTCTAATCTCGCGTGTATCCAAAAGTTGCATGTGTCATATAGTTGAGTAAAACTAAACTAATGATGTTTCCCCTTTTCTATTTCTTATGGGTTTTCGATATCTTCTTCCCTAGTAGTTAGTCCCCACCTAAGTGTTTTATGTTAGAATTCGGGTATCAAAGTCGGTCGTATGACAATTTGAATTTGGGTATCAAATTGTGGCGTATTATAATTTTGTAAACAAATAACGATTTAGTGAAAGAAAACAGTTAGAGTTTTATTGTTGAGGAAAATGTATAATATATATATAAAAAAGAGATAAATAAGACTGTAAAAACTATCTAGTATTAATTTAGTTAAATGGCTAAATAAAAGGTCAAACTAATAACAAATTTGAGTGAAAACATCTAGAGTTTCATTATTCGGTAAAAGATGTAATACAAAAAAACATAAATAAAAGTATAAATAGAAAGACTATTTAGGGTTAATATAGCTAAATGGTTAAATAAAATGTTCAATACTTTGATTAATATTTCGATCATAGATGCATGAATTCATGAAATTCACTCTAGGATAACTAATCAACTCACTTTCCGTTTTAATTAAAAATTGAAGGCAAACTATAATTAGACTACAGGGGTTGTTTTCTTTGTGAGACAAAAAAAAATTCCTAAGTTTCAATTCTATTTATACACACAAAGTCGGTAAGGTTGACAAAATAAGTTTTTGGAAAATTACAACTGTCTATCTTGAGGGTGTAACTATTTTTCTGGATTTTCAAAGACATCAACACAATATTGGTCATGGAAATCAACTTGGCCGAGGAATAAGCTTTGTCGTGGAATCAACTTTGTTGTGTAACAAACATGATTATGGTATCAACCTTAGTAAATTTATTACTTTCTATACCAATCTATAATCTATTGCTTGGGGACATAGGTTTCAACTACATTCCAAATCCACAAATTCGTAGACCTTTTATAGTACCACATTAAAGCCATCTCATTTCCTCTATCAATCTTTTGTTAATTTTTTTCAAATCATGTTATACTATTATCTTAGCAATGTTCAAATCCTAAAGCATACTATATTAGTTGAAAAAGAAAATGGAAGGGAGAAGAGGGGAAGAAAGATGAGAAAGACAACACATGGCTTGAAGACATGGTTCGCATTCATGAGTGTCGTCATTTTTAAAGAGATATACCTACTCATAACCGATGTCCACATATAACTCTGCTCCGTGGAAAAAATATAACATATAACCTTAGACAAACTAGATTTGGGTTCATTGCTACACCAATAACATGGCTACTACTTTTCATTTTTAGAAGAGTTAGAATAAACATTCGTTAACAATTACATAAGATAAGATGCTATTTATTTTTAAAAGACATAATATCTCTACAAACTATATTTGTACTTTGTGGACATTTGCAAACACCTATAGAAGAGATGAACCAAATATCTGCATACTGTAAAAAAATACTGTTTTTTTTTTAAATATCTACATGCTACTAAAATAAATTCAAATATAAATAAAATGATTTGTTAAATTTAAAAAGGTTTTTCAACATTGAAATTTAAATAATTATAGCTTTACAACATTGAAATATAATCTATACAACTATTATATATATATATATATATATATATATATATATATATATATATATATATATATATATATATATATATATATATATATATTCAGGTTCATTTGAGACCATTTTAATTTTGTGAGACCGTAAGATCAAATCTAAAAATAATTTTAAAATGCAAAATAAATGGAAAAATCCAAAACTTCTTTTTTTTAAGTATTATTTTCGGAACTTGAATTAACTAAAAGAAATTTAAAAAAAATAAAAAAAAAATAAAAAAAATCCCGAATTTTTTTTTTTGAAAAATACGTGAAATATTATAAATAGAATATTACACTGACATATTCTAAAAAATAATTTTAAAATGCAAAATAAATGGAAAAATCTAAAAATTCTTTTTTTAAATATTATTTTCGGAACTTGAATTAACTAAAAAAAATAAAAAATAAATAAAAAAAATTAAAAAAATCCTTTTTTTTTTGAAAAATACGTGAAATATTCTAAATAGAATATTACATTGTACATATTCTAAAAATAATTTTAAAATGCAAAATAAATGAAAAAATCAAAAAAAATTCTTTTTTTAAATATTATTTTAGGAACTTGAATTAACTAAAAAAAAATAAAAAAATAAAAAAAATAAAAAAATGCGTCTCACGGTCTCACAAAATTAGGCCGTCTTACATGAACCTAACCCTATATATATATATATATATATATATATATATATATATATATATATATATATATATATATATATATATATATATATATATATAATTTTTAATTCTATTTTGAATTTAATTGCTAAGCAATTTCATTCATTAACTGAGCTATATATTTCCTTCTGCACTACCATGTCTTTAAAACATGTAAAATTTTCAAAGAATTTAATTGAATTATTTACTTGTATTGAATAATTAAATAAATACAACTATGAGCTAAATTTCAAAAATTCAAGCTTTAAGTAAATAAGCCGATTATTTAAATGATTTAGATAATATTAAAACCTAGGTTTTATAATAAAGTAAATAAAGTTCTTTATTATTTTAATATATTAAATCAATAAGAAAAAGAAAAAAGAAAAAGGATGTGCATGTGTTTGTGAAAAAAGAAACCGAAAAAACATATGTTTATTTGTGTATATGTGTTTGTTTTAAGTAATACAATATGTTAGATTATTATTCTTTTGCCTGTAAGATGTGTGTGAAAAATGTATTTTCGTTTGTATATTTTAATCCATGTTTTATTTTTATTTATTTATTATTATTTTTTTTAGGAGAGAATGAGTAGATGGTTTTAATCGTCTGCAGCCTTTTAAAATAACAATCAATTTGCAAGAATGTCTTTCCTCAGTGTATATAATGCTCAATTTTTTTTTTCAAAAAAACAAACAAATATTGAAACTCGAATTGAATGACCTAGAGACTAAAGTGAGGTTATGAATATTGGAGGAACATTTGGTTACACTCGTAACTATTTTAATATAAAGTCAAATTACATTAAAAAAGAGTAAAGCACTTTAATTGTTTTTGTTCTAATTTAATCAGCTTTCAATTTTTTTTAATTAATTATCTACAGATAAAGTCAAATTACAAAAAAAAAAAAGTAAACTTTGATAACTTCTTATTCAACTTATATGTTTTTTTTCTCTAAAAAAACAAAATTATATTTTTTCCTTATATACTATTTTTCCTATTTTGACTCAAAATTATTTTGAAAGAAAGAAAGTCAGTGAAATTTTGCCAATCATCTAACAACTGGTTATCGTTATTTTAATACAAATCATAACAAGTGTCACCTTAAGCTTTTGTCTTTTAATTGATTAAAACATTAAATTAATTGTATTTTCATACGATTAAGATTAACCCTAAGTCTCCTGATTCCACTATGCAAAAAGAAATTGTATTATATGATAAAGCTCACTAAAAAGAACACTCTCGTCTTTCACTTCTCCGGGATAGAGAAAGGTCAAAAGAGAACTGGTAAAATTTCTTCTGATTTTTCAAGAAAATTCCTCATCTGTGTTTTGTTTTTATTTGGTGTAATTAATGATTCCTTCTAGAGATATTATTACCCTTCCTTCCATCTTTACCATGTGGGTAGGTTAGTTCGGTTTTTCTGATCTACAAATCCGTCTAGGGTTTCTTTCATTTTCATTACGTATCAGATATTCCCAGTTGAACTTCACTTTTACCTAACTGTTCCATAGATAATCAACTATCTTTCATAATTATATTTTTGAAGTTTGCTACTACTGTGTATGCTCTCCTCGAGGTAATTTCTTGAATCCCCTTTTACTTTATTAACTGTAGTTTTGTGTTTCTGTTTCCCCCTTTTCATGTTTTTTTCTAGTGATGAGTTTAGGTAGGGAATATCGATTTCTTGATGTAATTGAGCTGATAAGAACTTATTTTATCGTAGTTTTTGATTTTGTTTCTCAGTGTTGTGTGTAGCTGAAAATGGTGTCAAGATCATACTCAAACTTGTTAGATCTCGCCTCCGGTGAGCTTCCCTCGCCGTCTTTTACTCGTATGTCACGGCAAATGCCCCGTATTATGACCGTCGCCGGCATAATTTCCGATCTAGACGACGACCCATCAGAAAGCGTATGCTCCGATATATCGTCTTCATCAGTCCAGCATGATCGTTTAATCATAGTAGCTAATCAGCTTCCCATTAAAGCTCACCGGAAAACCGATGGTTCAAGAGGTTGGACTTTCAGTTGGGATGAAAATTCCCTTCTTCTTCAACTAAAAGATGGCCTCGGAGACGATGAAATCGATGTCATCTACGTCGGTTGTCTCAAAGAAGAAATCCACCCAAACGAACAAGACGAAGTTTCTCAAACCCTCTTAGAAACATTCAAATGCGTCCCGACTTTTATACCACTGGAACTCTTCACTCGATTCTACCATGGATTCTGTAAGCAACAACTATGGCCGTTGTTCCATTACATGCTGCCATTATCCCCTGATCTTGGAGGTAGATTCAATCGTTCTTTATGGCAAGCTTACGTCTCTGTCAACAAGATCTTCGCCGATAGAATCATGGAGGTAATAAACCCAGAAGACGATTTCGTCTGGATCCATGATTATCATCTCATGGTGTTACCAACGTTCTTGAGAAAACGATTCAACCGGGTCAAACTCGGGTTTTTCCTACACAGCCCCTTCCCTTCTTCTGAAATCTACAAAACATTACCAGTTCGCGAAGAACTCCTTCGCGCCCTTTTAAATTCAGATCTAATCGGATTCCATACTTTTGACTACGCCCGACATTTTCTCTCATGTTGCAGTCGATTACTCGGAATTTCATACGAATCAAAACGAGGTTACATAAGTTTAGAATACTACGGACGTACAGTCAGCATCAAAATCCTCCCAGTTGGAATCCACATGAAACAACTCCAATCCGTATTAAACCTTCCAGAAACCGAATCCAAAGTTTCCTCCCTCATTAAACAATTCCAACAACAAGGGAAAACAATGTTACTAGGAGTCGATGATCTCGACATATTCAAAGGCATTTCCTTAAAACTATTAGCAATGGAACAACTCCTAATCCAACACCCAGAATGGCAAGGAAAAGTCGTTTTAGTCCAAATAGCAAATCCCGCAAGAGGAACAGGAAAAGACGTAAAAGAAGTAAAAACCGAAACCTACTCAACCGTAAAACGAATCAATGAAACATTCGGGCGACCCGGTTACGACCCGGTTATCTTAATCGACGAACCGTTAAAATTCTACGAACGGATCGCGTACTATGTAACCGCCGAATGCTGTTTAGTGACAGCTGTACGCGACGGAATGAATCTAATCCCTTACGAATACATCATCAGCCGTCAAGGAACCAACAACCTCGATAAAGTCCTAGGTTTGGAGCCGTCAACCCCGAAGAAATCGATGTTGGTTGTGTCTGAATTCATCGGGTGTTCGCCTTCTTTAAGTGGAGCGGTTCGGGTCAACCCGTGGAACATAGACGCGGTTTCCGATGCAATGGATTGTGCATTGGAGTTAAGCGAAGGTGAAAAACAAATGAGACATGAGAAGCATTATAAGTATGTGAGTAGTCATGATGTTGGATATTGGGCACGATCTTTTTATCAAGATTTGGAAAGGACATGTAAAGATCATGTGAGGAGGAGGTGTTGGGGGATTGGATTCGGGTTGAGTTTTCGGGTTGTTGCTTTGGATTTGGAATTTCGGAAGCTTTCAATGGAACATATTGTTTCGGCTTATAAACGGACTACAACACGCGCGATTTTGTTGGATTATGATGGGACTTTGATGCCACAATCTTCGATTGACAAGAGTCCGAGTTTAAAAACCATCGAAATGCTAAATACTTTGTGTAGAGATAAAAATAACATGGTTTTTGTCGTAAGTGCTAAAAGTAGAAATACACTCGAGGAATGGTTTGCGGATTGTGAGAAACTCGGGCTTGCAGCCGAACATGGTTGTTTTTTGAGGTACATATAAATATAAATATATAATATGAAATTATATTTTATCATTTTAGTGATTAAATTGAGAATCCATAAGCGAGTGTTTATGTTTAGGTCGAAGAGAGATTCGGAATGGGAAACGTGTGTACAATTTGAAGAATGTGGGTGGAAGCAAAATGCTGAACCAGTTATGATGCTTTATACAGAAACAACGGATGGATCAACAATTGAAGATAAAGAAACAGCTTTAGTGTGGTCTTATGAAGATGCGGATCCTGATTTTGGATCATGTCAAGCTAAAGAGCTTTTAGATCATCTTGAAAGCGTGCTTGCTAACGAACCTGTTACAGTCAAAAGAGGACAGAGCAGTGTCGAGGTCAAACCACAGGTGAATTATTTTCCTAATCACAAAAATTACCAAATTTTTGGTAAAATAAAGCAAGTATGTTGCTATTTGTTGAATTTAAAGTTGTGTTAATTGTGTAGGGTGTAAGTAAAGGATTGGTGGCGAAACGGATGCTTACGACAATGCAAGAGAGGGGAATGACACCGGATTTTGTGGTGTGTATTGGAGATGATCGATCGGATGAAGATATGTTTGAAGTGATTACAAGTTCTGTGGCTTCTGGTGAATTGATATCTTCAAAGGCAGAAGTTTTTGCATGCACAGTTGGGAATAAACCGAGTAAAGCTAAGTATTATCTTGATGACACTGTTGAGATTGCTAGATTGATGAAGGGATTGGCTTCGGTTTCTGAACAATCGGTTAATGTTCTTGCTTTTGAGTGATGGGTGATGGGTGATGAGTGATTGAGGGTTGGTTTTACATGTAAAAATAGATGATATGGTTGTGTTTGGTTGCTGTTTTTAGTTGTAAAGTTGAGAGCAAGAGAAGTTGTTGCTCGTTGTTGAGAGGTGAGACTCTTTTAATTTAGGTAGAGTTTGTTTTGTTGTATATATTTCTTTATGTTGTGTTTGGGTTGTTGTAACGTGTTGTGATTTGCCCTTGTATTGGACTTTGTTAATACGAGTTGAAAGAATCATGTTAGAAAGATATGATATGATATGATATGGATGTGATTGTTGTTGATGTCTTAATGGATGATTGTGATGACTCCAAAGTCGTGTATTATTTAGGGAGAATTTGTTTATGTTCGGGCTGTTTGGTAGCATATTACTTTTTTAATTAAGAGGTAGACTTTTAATTTGTGAAGTGTAACTAAGAAATCAAAAATGGAAACATAATAACTTAAGGTGTAGCTAAGAAAACAAAAATAGAAACATAATAATTAATTCGTTATAAAAGTAAATGTAGGTGGATGGGTATCGAACATTGAGTCACACCACTGACTTTTCCAAGTTGAGCACTCTAACAAAAAGTCAAGGAATCTTGAGTGTGAAAGAAAAAAAGAAATATATCAAGAGCCATAATCCAAATATGTCTCCCAAGAGGTAACATTTAAACTAATTCTTGATGTTGAATTGTTGTTATGATGTCTTCTTCTTAATTTTATAAAGCGCAAATGTTGCTTTCGTTAAGATAGAAAAAATTTGTACGAAATTGTATTATGAACAACAAAGACAGATGTCTGCCCTAAATGAACACACCCATCATTTGCTAATAACTGTAAGAGTTAGGTTATTTGTCTAGTCTCATGCACAAAAAAAAAAGTTCGATCTTAGATTCTTAAAATCATTAATTGTAGAGTAAATTACATGAATGATCTTTGAGGTATGCATCTATCTACATTTTTTGTCCACTTAAACTTTCGTCTTCATCTTTGACTCCTCAACGTTAGTCATAGGTTGTTGAGGGCTAAAGAAAAAAGCTGAACTCAAGTAAAGAGATACAAAATCATGTTTGATGTTAGTTGGACGTGTTTCATCTTTTATCTGTTTAGTGGTGTTCATGGTTTAGGTTGTATTTGTTTTGGGGTTCCTTTGGGTGTCTTTTGGAGTTGTTTTGGGTTATTTTGGGATAGGAATGGTGGTGTAATTATCTAGATTTTTTATGAAAATTGGAAGTAGCGTTTATTCACGAAAACCTTAGTATAATTAAAATCGTGATTTTCTTATTGTGTCTTAAAGTACAGAAATCAGAATAGTAAGTTATAACTTACTGAAGTATACAATTGTTAAAATTTAAGTGATGGTTGATTGCATAATGATAACTTACGTCATATAATCTGTTAAGACATATTATCAAGACAAAGTTACGGCACCATGTAACCAAATCACGTCCAATTGACCAATCATGAACCATACCTTAAAACATGAGAGTAGATGAGATCAACAAAAACCACAGCTTACCAAATTAGAAGTACATTAACATTCAACAAGTAATTGTTCGAGTTGCTAGTAGACACAAATACAATACCTTGAACTCCAAGAAAATTAAGTTAATATAAGTCATTCACCATTAAAAGAAAACAAAAACCTTTTTAGTAACTAATAATATAATTCCAAAATGAACATTCTTAGAAATAAAGACAAGTAAATTGATCCTATGTATTCTGAAAGAAAGTAGTTCTAAGATGAAAAGATTTTGAGATCGAAACTAAGTTTCTTTCAAATACGTGTATCAAAGAGAACAAGTCTCTTGAAAGAACTGAGGATCTGGAATCATCATACCTATCTTGTTTAGAAAACCATTGAATTTGGTTTCGTCTAATGTCTTGGTAAAGACATCAGCAATCTCATCGTCAGATGGAACAAAAATGAGTTCAATGTTACCATTAAGTACATGTTCTTATATGAAATGATACCTTATATCAATGTGCTTAGTCATTGAGTGTTGAATTAGATTGTGGGAAATCACAATGGCACTTTGAGAATCACAATAGATAGGAATCCGTTGAAAGCGGTAACCATAATCCAAGAGTTGAGATTTCATCTACCGAACCTGAGATGTACAGCTGGCAGCAACAATGTATTCGGCTTCAGCTGTAGAGAGTGCAATGCAGTTCTGTTTCTTGTATGACCAACTGACCAAACGACCACCTAAGAATTGACAGCCACCTGAAGTGCTTTTTCTATCAAGTTGAAGTCCATCGAAGTTCGAATCTGAATATGCTTGAAGAAGGAAGCTTTCATTTGCTGGATACCAGATTCCGAGACTCTTTGTGCCTTTAAGATATCTGAAGACTTGTTCTACAGCCAAGATATGAGACATTTTTGGATTAACTTGAAATCTGGCACATAAACATGTTGAGAACATGATATCCGGACAACTTGCTGTGAGATAGAGTAGGGATCCAATCATTCCGCGATATTTCTTTTCGTCAACTGAAACACGTGAAGGGTCGGCAAAGATCTTGTGTCCGAAGCCCATTGGTACATTGGCTGAGGCGCAGGTGTCCATTGAGTATTTCTTGAGGAGTTCCGAAATGTACTTCTCTTGGTGAATGAAGATTCCTCTGTTAGCCTGTTTGACTTAAAGGCCAAGAAAGAAGCTTAACTCCCGATTCATGCTCATTTGGAATCTATTGATCATCAGTTTAGCGAAGTCAGCAACCATAGATGAATCCGTAGATCCAAAAATAATGTCATCCACATAATTTTTTACCAGCATGAGATGTTTTCCATTTGATCTTCGAAACATAGTAGGATCTAGATTCCTCTTTGGAAACCGAAGCGCTTGAGAAAATCTGTGAGGGTCCTGTACCATGTGCGAGGAGCCTATTTGAGTCCGTAGACAACCTTCCGAAGTTTGTAACATTAATTAGGAAAGGAGATATTCACAAAATCGGGTGGTTGTTGAAGGTATACTTCAGTGTCAAGTTCAACATTTAGGAAAGCACTTTTGACATCCATTTGGTAAAATTTGAAGCCTTTATGAGCAGCATAAGCAAGGAAGATTCTAATAGCTTCAAGTCTTGCAATAGGAGCAAAGGTCTCATCGTAGTCGACCCCTTAAATTTGAGTAAAACATATGGCTACCAGTCTTGCTTTATTTCGGATAATGACTCCTGCATCATCTAGCTTGTTGCGAAACACCCATCTTGTACCAACAATGTGATGGTTTGGAGGAGGAGGTACAAGAGTCCATACTTCATTTCGGTTAAATTCTGCCAGTTCTTCTTGCATGGTTGTAATCCAATCAGCATGCTCTAATTCTTCCTTGATGGATTTGGGTTCAAACATGGATATGAATGCTGAGAAATGACATTTATTTTGGATACTTGTAGCAGAACGAGTTTATACACCGTCATTGATGCTTCCAATCACTTGGTGACATGCAATCTTGGAAGTTCTTGAACAGCAGACGATCCGATATCAACAATAGGATTGAGTTGCTCCCCCTGAATGGTCTGAATTTGAGGATGATGATCCCCCTGAACTTCTGAACCGGAGAGGTTGGCATCATCATTAGAAGGGAACTCAAAGAAATTTTCATTGTCATTGATGTTGATCGGATTTGAGTCATTAAAATCAACAACTGCATCTTGGAAGCCGTCCACATTTGATTCAAGAGAGGGATGATTCTCCCCCTCAACCTGAGAAGGTTGAAATGGTTCGAAATCAAATGCCTGGAGACTCAGAATCGGACCAGAGATGTTGTGCGAGATAGGAGCTTCCAAAGGAGAATTTGTACTTGGAGTAGGCCTCGTTCGAGATTCCGAATCAAGGGTAGTTTCGGAAGGACCAAAGAGAGTTTCAAAGTCTACTTCATGAATTACTTGAATGTTTGGACATTTCGGAGGAGGAGCATCAGATTCCAAGATGTGGGTGGTGATGTGAGTGGGACCGGAACTCTGAACAAGGTTGTCATCAAAGGTAACATCAAAAATTTCTTCAATAACTCGAGTATGTCGATTGAGGACTCGATAAGCCTTTGATTTTGAGGAATAACCAAGGAAAATAGCTTTGTCAGCATTGGGTTGGAACTTGGTAAGCTGATCGCGCTTATTTTTGATGAAGCATCTGCATCCGAACACATGAAGAAAGGAGATTGTTGGCTTTCGTCCATTCATGGCTTCGTACAGAGTTTTGTTGAGGAGTCGATTGATGATACTCCTATTCTGAGTGAAGCTTTGGTGGTTGTCGAGGCCAACACAAATAATAACCCTAAATATTACACACTAAAATAGTGTATAGTGGTAAAGGGATCGAATCCATGGAGATTGGTTCAATTTGATAACTCTATGAAAAATCTCTTTGTAAAAATACTTGGAATATGACAATAAATTAAAAATGGGGATTTTGATGTTTTGAAATACTTGAAACAAACTAGAATTAACTATGATTTAAATAGACAATTGCAACAAAAATAAGAGTTTGATGTAAAATCAATTAGAGAAGGATGGTTGACTTAAGGGTTTCCTCACTTTGACTTTTGGTGAACATATCATTAGAATTCAATGGTGCAATACTTGTTTTAAAACCTCAATTTGGCTATAGTAATCCAAGGAGCTTGAGATTACCTAGACTTTTCTTAATTGTTGAAATGGCTAGAGAAGCTCATAACAATTTCCTTAGTCAAAGTCACTAATTCCAAATAGCATGTAATTAGTGAAAGTCAACTAGCATTAAGAACCAAAAAGTCACCAAATCCAAGAGGGGTCAAATGCTTTCACCACCATGTTGGAGGAAATGTTTTTATGATTGTGTGAAGCAAAAACAACACAAAAATCATTTGTTGCTTGCTAATTTGAGGATCCTTTACTTAATCAAGAAATTAGCCAACTAATCACCACAAACACATTTAAACTCATGAACTAAAACATACAAGTAATGATAAGATGTTAAAACACAAAACATTCCCATAAAGATTCAAGAACATGTTCATGGATTCTTCAACATTCAACAAAAGTTCAAAGGATTAACCAAAAGTCAACCAAGATTAGCTTAGCCAAGCATGGCTAAACCCAAAGAAACAAAGTTAGAGAAAATTGTACCAAACATTAAGCAAGAATCAAGAGGTAAAAATATGATGTTCTTCAAGGGTTCTTGGCCTTCAAAAGTCTTCAAAACTCCAGAGAGAATCTTCAAAAATCGGATGTCCAAGAGTATGCAAAAGATGGGCACCAACCTTCCTCAAATAGCTCAAAAGAAGAATTTCCGAAACTGCCCCTGCAGGAG